TGTAAAATCTCCTTCCACATATTATCAAAATTTAATTTTAACAAATCTTGTTTCTCTGTTACTGAAAAATCTGAATTTAAGGCAAACCATTCTTTCTTTAAATCGTTTTCGTCAAAACCACCTATTCTTGCAGCAATAAAAGAAAAATCATGAAATGATGTTTCCCTATCAGTACTCAATAAAGCTATATGTGGTAAAAGAATTTGTAATTTTGATAAAAATGTATCACTTAATCTTTTGAAAATTTCTTCGACTGCAGTTATGTAAAATCGCAAACAATTCTCTCGAACAGTTGCAACCATGTTTGCGTGTCCAGCCTCTATCAATTGATGAAGATATTCTTCGCACTCCGATCCTAAAAAAATATCATTTAAAGATTTATGATTTTCTGTCTTACAAAATGTTATATTTGGCAAATGTTTCAAAATTTCTAGTTTTATAAAATTTGTACAAATTTCTTTTAAAAAATCAATTGATTTTGACTGTAACAGATGTATCCTCGTTTCCTCAGCTTGAAAAATGCATTAAATACATTAAAAAAATGTAATGTATATTTTAAGAATAGCAAATATGCTTTTGTGCATCTACATTCTGCATGACACGTATTCAATATTCAAAACAATATTCAAAATACAAAATTTTCTATTTTTATAGATGAATCAACAAATATTTCTAGTGAAAAATGGATGACATTTCACGTTCGATACGTTCATATTGAAACATTAGAAGTTCATTCGCAACTAGTAAAATTAATTGATATCGATGCAACAGATTGCAGCGCGGAAAAATTGTTTAATGCATTTAAATATGAAATATGTGAAACTACAAATACCTTTTTCAATATCTTTTTGTTGCCTTGTCATGTGACAATGCGTCCGTTATGGTCGGAAATCATTTATCTTTCAAGAAAAAATTGGAAGAGATGTGCAATAATGTATTGAAATTATCATGTCCATACCATTCTGCTTCATTAGCTTCGCATGCCGCGTGTGCTCAAGCTATCTCAAGATATCTCAAGCTTGTGAGGAATTCTTGAAAAGAATTACAAGCTATATAACTTGTAGTCCCAAGCGATGGTCTATTTTCACCAAATTAAGTTTTGAAGAAAGGACACAAAATTGTAAAGTTACGTAATACACGATGGCTTTCTCAGCACGTGTGTATCGACAGACTTCTTCAATCTTGGAATACGATATAACATTTTCTTGAATGAAATGATCGTGAGCGAGAAAGGTACATCTGCAGAAAATTTGTTACGTGTCTTGCAGAATGTAGATGCACAAAAGCATATTTGCTATTCTTAAAATATACATTACATTTTTTTAATGTATTTAATGCATTTTTTCAAGCTGAGGAAACGAGGATACATCTGTTACAGTCAAAATCAATTGATTTTTTAAAAGAAATTTGTACAAATTTTATAAAACTAGAAATTTTGAAACATTTGCCAAATATAACATTTTGTAAGACAGAAAATCATAAATCTTTAAATGATATTTTTTTAGGATCGGAGTGCGAAGAATATCTTCATCAATTGATAGAGGCTGGACACGCAAACATGGTTGCAACTGTTCGAGAGAATTGTTTGCGATTTTACATAACTGCAGTCGAAGAAATTTTCAAAAGATTAAGTGATACATTTTTATCAAAATTACAAATTCTTTTACAACATATAGCTTTATTG